CAGAAGAGTATTATAGTTGTATTTCGAAAGCCCATATAAAACTAGAATAACATGTTAATTTTCTGGTAATATAAATATAAACCCCAGGACTTATTAAAGTCTACCATTTTCAGTCCTCTACTTACACAGTTGAAGAAACTGAATACTAGGAAAAAACATCAGAGTCCGTCTTATCTAGGTTTACACTGCTGGCGTGGATTTATCTGCCCAAGAGCAGTCCTTCATTGAATAATAAATACAGGACACTAGAATATTTTTTACCACTTATCTTTATTCTTCAATTCTCAATTTTTCAGCAACTTGTAAGTATTCAGGATTTGTTTTTTAATTTGAGTTCTGACTTCAACTCAATTGTGGCATCACATATATTCCCCATTTACAGGGATTGAATTAGTATATGATCATTTCCTTCCTGCTACTGCTTCTTCTAGAACCTGATCTGCTTTCTCTAACAGCACGAGGCCTGTTGTCTCATTTAGGCTAACAGTGGGCACAGAGGGTTGAGGCATTATACTTTCTAAACTGGTTCCTTGTTTTGGAGAGGATCCATCTGAAGAGATTACCGCTCTTCTGGTGATCATCACCATCATCGCCCAACACCTGCCTGTGCACCATGTGCCAGGATTTGTGCAAACTGCTTCATGTATTATCTTATGCAGCCTGTGCAGTTCACGCAGCTGCTGGTAAAGAACTCTGTTTCAGACTAGTACAAAGAGCCAGCAACAGAGAAAGCATAATGGCAGCTGCAGTGTAACTGGGAGAATTGTCGCTGACAATTGGCTCCCGATGGGGTCTGAGGGCATTTCTTTATCAGTCCCTCGGTTCAGCTCGTAGCCACCGTGCACCTGCTCTATGCTGGGCAGAGTGCTGGGTGCAGTGTGCCAGCCGAATGAATGAACACCAGCCTTCCTTCCATGTGTGACCCTCTCCCCCTCGCCCAGGAAGGTGGATGATTTAGGATTGTGCTGACTGTGCAAGGGCAGTCTGGTGGTCAGGATGCACACTTTTGCTGATGAACATTAACATCTGGATCTCCTAGTTGAAGAATGAACATTTGTAATTTTTGTTTGTTTGTTTGTTTTTCCCAGAACTCTCTGGCCTTTTAAGTTTATATTTCCAACAAAGAAAAGATATAATAGATTATTACTTTTTACTTCCAATTACACAGTGAGAACACAAGCCAAAGGGATTTTAAATTTTTTTGATTATTTACTTTAGTTAAAAGGTCAAGTCAATGAAAGAGCCAGGATTCATAAACTCGGATTCCATTTACATACACCTATCAGACCATCCAGCTCTTTTGTCCTGCACTGTGCCTCAGATGGGAGTTCAGAAATGAGCAAAATCTAAGGTGTGGGAGTTCCAGAATGGATCTGCCACCTGCCAGCTAACATTCAGATCTCAAAGGGGACCTGCCTGCACTTATTTAATGGAAAGATAAATGTGTTCAAGGAACTGTTACTATAAATTCATTTAGAAACAGGGCAGAGGCTGTACTCACATTCCTCCCAGGTCTGAGCAGCTGACAGATTTGGTTCACTGTACCTCTGGGAGGTAATACATTCTCGCTAGATGGCAAAGTGTGATTGTTATTCAGAGCTCCCAAATACCTGTTTCTTTTATTGTTTAAATGAACTTTGTGGTTGAATTCAACTATTTAATGAAAAATGTTCCTCTGAACTTAACTATGGGTGAAGCAATGAATGGATCGGACCCTGTGCAGGGCATTAGAAAGATAGACATTTTTATTATCCAAAAGATGCTTGTGGTTTAAAAAGGAAGATAAAAAGGTGCAAAAAATATAGTTTCATTAAAGCGATTAACAGAATGTGCAAGAAAGAAAGATACAGAGAAGTGACGCTTGATTCAGGATTCTAGGTGGTCCTAGGATAAAATGAAACCCATTTTTTCCCAGAAAAATGTAGTAACTCTTTTATTCCTAGTAGCTGTACTAGATTAAAATTGACACATTATACATTTCTGATTTTCAGTTGTACAATTTGGTAAGTTTTAGTGTATGTGTACACTCCGTTATAATCAAGATATGAACATATCAATCAAGATATGATCATATGAACATAGCACTCTGAGAGTCTGAGGCAGGAGTGTCCCTTGAGTTCAGGATTTCCAGACCAGCCTGAGCAAGACTGAGACCTCATCTCTACTAAAAATAGACAAATTAGCTGGGCATCATTCTGGGC